ACATTTTAGTTACTTATTAAGGATAATTGTAATCAAAGATAGATAGTGGGTTGTCTTCTCAGTTTCCAGTTCTTTTTTGCTGAGTTAATTGGTAAAAACCCTTAACCCAGCAGTTTGCAACTTTGGCTACATGTTATAATCACCCAAGTTTCTTACAAACAAATCGAGGTCCCACCCACAGAGAGTCTTATTTATTTCATCTGTGCTGTGGCCTAGGTGAAACAAATGTGCATCCTGGGTAGAGAATCAGTGCGATCAATAGTGGCCACGGGAATGGTTCTGACTGGGTCTTCTGAAGGCCCACACTGCTCACATCCTGGCCATCTGGGCATGGATATCTATTTTATTAACTCCAAATTACTGTAACAGCCTTAGTCTTTGCTGGAGCACTCACACAGGGTGCCATCTTTAAGCATGAAACATTTTTCCTGATTTCTACAGGTCTTGTTTCCCCTCAGTGTGGTTTGGCAATACTGGCTCTGGCTGATTTGCCTTCTTGTCAGGCTGACCACGTGCCAGCCTGAATGAGCTCAGAATGACCCAGCCATTTTAGGGTATTATAAGCACCTTGGGCAGGTAGTAGTTGAAACTGGATCTCTCATTAGTGTAATGCATGACTTTTTCGGAAATAACGTTTAAATGCTCCTCCTTTTTCCTAGTAAGAGGAGCTTAGAGTAGTAATAATGATAGTTTAATATATTTTGAGCGTTTGCCTTGCTCTAGGCAGTATGAAAGTACTTTTTTTTTTGTTATCTTCCAATCTTGAACATTACTTTTGGTAGGTATTATTGAATAGAAGTTTAAAGAAATTAAGGAATTCACCAGAAGTCACCCACACTACTGGTTACTGATAAAGTCAGGATTCAAACGCTGACATGTTTCTTTTGATTTTTTTTCTTTTTTTTATCCTCACCTTGTGACATTTTTTTCCCATTTTTTGTTCATATAGAGTGGGAGGGGGAGAGAGAGAGAAACATCGATGTGAAAGGCACACATCCAGTGGCTGCCACCCGCATGACCCAACCAGGGCTGGGGACAAACTGCAACCGAGGTACGTGCCCTTAGTGGGAACTGAACCCGGGTCTCTCTGGACCACAGGCTGATGCTCCAACCGCTGAGCCAAACCGGCCAGGGCATTTTCTTTTGATTTTTGAACCATGAGACTATTACCCATTTAAAATGACGAATATAATTTTAAAGATACCAAAAAGGTAGTGAACTCTCCCTTCCACTCCTAGAGGCAGCTGCTATAGCCAATCACTTGTGTATCCTTCCAGACATGTATCTTTGTGAATACATATGAATTGTGTATATTTTTCCTTTTTCTCCCTCCGTCATAAGTGGTCTTTATTGTGGACATTCTATATTTAACTGGGAGATTGTTTCTTGGTGCATATATGTATGTGTGTGTCTTTTTTAACAGATGAATAGTATTCCATTATATCCTCTATTAATGGGCATTGATTCATTGATTCTTTTTTTTTTTTTGATATTGTAAACAATGCTTCCTTCAGTCAATAACCTTGCACCTATATCATTTTACACATGCTTCAATACAGGGTGTCTCGTCCTCAGCACTATTGATATTTTGGGCTAGATAATTCTTTGTTGTAGGATCTGGCTGCACATTATAGGATGTTTAGCACATCCCAGCCCTCTATGGACTACATACCAGTAGCTCCCCTATCCCAAGTAGTGACAAACAAAAATGTCTGCAGACATTACCAAATGTTAAAAATTGCCCCTGGGTTCTGGCCATTTTGGCTCAGCAGTTAGAGCATCAGCCCTCAGACTGAAGGGTTTTGGGTTCAGTTCTAGTCAAGGACACGTACCTGAGTTCCAGATTTGATCCCAGCCCCGGTCAGGGTCTGCGGGAGGTGGTTCTCGCCCTCGCCCTCCCCATCTCCCTCCCCCTTCCTCCCTACCTCTCTTCCTCCCTTCTTCCTTTCCTTTTCTTCCTCCCTTCCACTTTCTAAGAGAAATCCATGGAAAAATATCCTCGGGTAAGGATTGCCCTTGCTTAAGAATCACTGTTCTAATTTATCTTTTGTTACAGATGTTCACATTTTTAGAAGTAGAATTGCTGGAACTAAATTTATGTGCATTTAAAATTCTGATGGTGATTGTTAAATTGTTCTCCACAGAGGTGGTACCATTTTACACTCTAGCAGTAATTTAAGGTGTTTTCTCATGTTTACCAATACTGGGGTTTATAAAACATTTTTTTCTGCTATCTTACTGTAGTTTTAAATTCTGGCTTTTACATTTTTTATTTTAATTTAATTCAATTTTTTTGTTAATCTTCACCTGAGGATATTTTTCCTTTGATTTTTAGATAGAGTAAAAGGGAGGGAGGGACAGAGAGAGAGAGAGAAACATTAATATGAGAGAGACACATGATTGATTGCCTCCCGCATGGTCCTGGGGGCCAGGGGTCTAATCTGCAACCCAGGTATGTACCCTTGAGTGGGAATCAAACTCGAGACCCTTTGGTCTTCAGGCTGATGCTCTAACTGCTGAGCCCAACCAGCCAGGGCTCTTACTGTGGTTTTAATTCATATTTCTATGCTTTAAGCTAACCTTTTTATTGAGCACTAGTGCTTGCTAGGCATGTAGTATTTTTTGGCTTGTGGGTTTTGTGACATACTTTGAAGTGCCTTCTTCTCTGTCTAGCTCTCTTAAAGTTTGGTACCAAGAACTGAAGAAATTACTCCGGATTTCTTCTGGTCATAATAAATTGATAACACATACTATTTATTGACACAGACATACTTGGTATGCTTTAGAAATGCATTATCGCTGTGTAACCTAAGCATTTATTTGTAATAAAATGCTATATTTTTTCCCTTTTGAGTTGGTGTGTAGCATCTCTCTGGATGTTATAAGACAGTAAGAAGCTAGGAAAATTCCAAGACAAGCAGAATAGGGAAACTAAGATAGATAGATAGCAGTTTGTAGCCATCTAGTAAATCCTATCCTCCCTAAACCAAGGACACTGAAGAGGAAATGGTTTGCACTTCTTCTCTCCAACCAGAGGGCAAATAGCTTAAATCACCCTACTCAGTGAGACAGATAACAGAAATCCAATTAAGTGCCATTTGCCAGCTATACCCAAGGACAGACAAATTAAGAGAATAAATCTCATTTTGGTACATCAGCATAAAGCTGATGAATATTCTATTGATCTTCTCCTAGAACCCCTGCCCCAAATGCCCGTCCTTTAAAACCCTTGAAAATGAAAGTCCCAGCAGCTCTCCTTCCTAAGAGCACGCTTGCTCCTCCCCTGCCCCTTCCCTTCTTCCTGTCCTCTAAGGGACCCCAAGAGACTTGCAACTGGAGGAGCAGTGGGCAGTGGCAGCTTGTCCAGGGCTAACCCCCTGAACCTGTCTCTAAGGCCCCTTTTCTCTGACTTCGGGGAGTCAAAGCAGCCCAGCCTGCACTCTCCTGTGGCTTCTACTGTGCCCTTTCTTGTTCCACTGTCCTAAGTATATTTTTGCTGTGGTCAATAAATTCTTGCTTGCTTTTCTACACTTTGTCTCTTGATTGAAATCTTTCCTTCAAGAAGACAAGAACTGAGGTCTCCTCATCTCGCCTGTAACAGTCACGATCTCCTGAAGTAGGACGTGTTAGAGAGAGCTAGCTGAAAAAGGGGCATTTGATTCTGCGGTTTGGAGTCTTAACAGTCCCGGCCTTGTCAGAATTGGTTTAGATGCCCCAATTTAAGTTTGTAAGTTCCCTGTTATTTTCTCTTCTAGGACTTCCCCCCTCCCCCCCGACTCTCTTCATTGTTAATCATCGTGTGTGAAATTATTACTTCATGTATGCTTAGTTGCTTATTACTTGTCTCTAGGCATATTTGTTCACTACTAAGTATCTAACACGTAGCAGTGAATATTTGTTGAATGCATGAACTAGTTAGTCTGAGAACTGAGGCACACTGGAAATTGGGTTATTTGGGGACCTAAAAGCCTAGATTTGTCATTCAGAAGGTTGAAGAGTTTAGTTAGCTTAGTAGTGGGCTCTGTCACATTAATAGAATGAAGCCATCTTCCCTCCTAAAAAAGCCAGAACTAGTTGATTCTTACGGTTTTCTCTGGACCATTTGGGCTGTTGGAGGAACTTTGGTCCAAATGACCCAGTGATTTTGGCTGAAAGCTGTGGAAGTTAAGAGAATGAGTCAAGATTCCTTAGTTAATGGCTTCCCCTGCCTCATGCTTAAGGAGTCATGATTGTATTTACTTGAGACAGAGTGATATCCTCTCCTAAATGAGCAGTTACCAAGAAATTGTAGTGTGATCGAGTTCTGATATGAGCAATTTTCTTTTATTTCTGGAGAGCAAAGTCTATGTTAAGGGGGCCTTAAGGCACAGTTAATCTCTGGCTTTAATGACTGTTTTGATCATCCAGCACATCCTTTTGGAACCCTGTTTGATAACTATAGCTTGTTTGCTTTTTCTCTACTTCTAAGAATTTATATGAGGATTGTTTAGTGTCGGTCAGATAACCTGTTTAGCTAGTTTGACTCTTCTCTGTTCTGGAATTTGGCACTGGTAAATAAGATAGTTAAGGGGAAGTTCACTGCCTCTCAGAAGGAAGAGCAGTTGGATCATGGGTCAGCAAACTCTTTCTTTTGTAAAGGATCATATAGTAAATATTTTAGGCTTTTTGGGCTCTGGTCTCAGTCACATATTTTTTTATTTGTTTGTTTTAAAGATGTAAAAATTGCCCTGGCTGGTTTGGCTCAGCATTTGGAGCATTGTCCTGCAGACCAGAGAGTCCTGGGTTTGGTTCCCACTAGGGGCATGTACCAAAAAAAAAAAAAAAGATGTAAAAATCATTCCTAGATCATGAGCCTTATAAAAACAGGCCATAGCCAGATTTGTTGCATAGTCTCATGATTTGCCAACCCCTGAAATAGTGAAGAAATTAGTCGATTGCTTAAAAGTGTTTATTTTGATGTTTTGGGAACATGAACTCAGCATAATCTTTGAAATTCTCAGTTGATTGTGATCCAAAGAAACTCTGGCATTGGAAGTCAAAGTGACCCTACTTTTAGTCACCTTGGGTCCATGGAACTCAAGGTAACCTTGGCCAGTGGGACAAAGGGATCTTGCTGCCTCTTTCCCATGCAGTGCTGGGCAAGGGTGACTGAGATGGAAAAGTAGAACAGAGGTGTGACCCTAGAATTAGGCTGGAATTAGGTCTAAGGAATACAGTGTCTCCAACAGCAAATTAAGTTGATTTAAGACTCAGAAATACATCATTTCCTGAACCTCTGTTGGGAGGTAGTTAATAATTTGGCATGTAAAATCAGTTTGGCTAGTTCATAAAATGAAAGAGCGAGTTTGTACCTTGGATTCTAAGAACACCACCAAATTCTGATACATGAGTCCAGATATGCCTTGTGGTTTTTCTGTGATCACAAGAAGTTCTGTAAAGAGCAGGCTCGGCATGAAGGAAGTATTCACTTATTTCAAGTTAGTCTGGGAGATAGAAGAGCATAGTGGTTAAAGAGCATGGGCTCTGAGACAGATATACTTGTCCAAATTTCTGTTCTGCCACTTCCTAGCTATATGATCCTGGGTAACTTACTTCATCCTCTAAGCCTCAGTTTCCTCACTTGTAAATAGGAATGATGATAACTCCATCATACGGTTGTTGTGAGAATTAAGTGAGGATAGTGTATATAATATGCTTATTATATTAGCTAATGTCCTTTTGTTAGTATTTGACAAAAGTTAGCATTAACAATGGTAATGTGAAAATGGAAGATATTGAGGACCAGATATAAGAACTAGTATTTGTGACTTGGTGCCACTGACCTGTCATGTCTTTTAATCACTAGATGTGTGGGAATGTAATGGGAACAGTAATGGGTTAGGAGTCAGAAGAATTGGATCTGTTTCTACCTTGCTTGGTTTCATAACTGATAAAATGGGAATAATATGTGTTCACAGGTTGTAATATCACATGTGAAAGAGCTGAGTTCTAAGCACTGGACAAAATTCAAGGTAAAGTCAGTAACCTGTTTGTTCATCCTTGAACTTCTTAATATATTGGGATAGAGTCTAAAGGTGATTGATGTGAAGCCAAAATGTTTGTAGAGGAACTTGATAAGATGCTCCCAAGTTCAAGACTTGCATTGGTAAATTGTGGTTAGGGATGCGTAATATAAAACTGGAATACTTTTATAAGATATTCAAAATAGTGGAGTTTAAAAAGGAGTGGCTGTATTAAGTGAAAGAAGCCAATCTAAAAAAAGGCTGCATACACCATGATTCCAGCTATATTCTGGAAAAGGCAAAACTATAGAGACAATAAAAAAAATATTGATTGCCGGGGGTTGAGGGCAGGGAAGGATAAATAATCAGAGCATAGGATTTTTAGGACAGTGAAAATACTCTGTAGGATACTGTAATGATGGATACACATGTTAATATATATTTGTCTAAACCCATAGGATGTATAGCAAGAGTGAATCATAATGAAACTGGATTTTGGGTGATTATGATGTGTTAATGTAGGTTCATCAGTTGTGACAAATATACCTGTTTGGTGGGGGATGTTGATAATGGGGAAGACTGTTACATATGTGCGGGAAGGGGTTATAAGAGAAATCTTTGTGCCTCACTCTTAATTTTATTGTGAACCCAAAACTGCTCAAAAAATGGTCTTTGCTCAGTGGTTAGAGCGTCGGCCTGTGGTCCAGAGAGACCCAGGTTTGGTTCCCGCTAAGGATGCGTACCTCGATTGCAGTTTGTCCCTGGCCCTGGTTGGTCGTGTGGGTGGCAGGCACTCGATGTGTCCCTTTCACGTCGATGTTTCTCTCTCTCTCTCTCTTCCTCTCTCTCGCTCCCACTCTACCTGAACAAAAATGGAAAAATGGCCCTGGCCGGTTTGGCTCAGCGGTTAGAGCATTGGCCTGCGGTCCGGAGAGACCCAGGTTCGGTTCCCGCTAAGGGCATGTACCTCGGTTGCAGTTTGTCCCCGGCCCTGGTTGGTTGTGCGGGTGGCAGCCACTCGATGTGTCCCTTTCACGTCGATGTTTCTCTCTCTCTCTCTCTTCCTCTCTCTCCCTCCCACTCTATCTGTGCAAAAAATGGGAAAAGTGTCCTCGGGTGAGGATAAAAACCAAAAAAACAAACAAACAAACAAACAAAAATGGAAAAATGTCCTCGGGTGAGGAAAAAAAAAACTATATATTTCCTTTCCCCCTGCAGTTCCCTATCTGGACATTTATTCTGAAAATATATTTGCTTGTTCATTTTATGTACTAAATCATGTATGCACATGGTTATTCATTACAATATTTATAACAGCATAAAAGTGGAAACATTGGTGTCCAACTGCAGAAAACCAGTTAACCTAAATCAGTTAACTAATTCTTACAGTCAAAAATTGTGCATAGTACCTGTAAAAAGTGTGGGAGCTATGTATGTGCTGATTGAACATTCTTCCATAATAAGTTAAGCTAAAAACAAAACAAAAAGCAAGGTGAAGAACAATGTTCATAATATGCCATCATTATTGTTGCCAGATTGGGGGAAATAGAAAAGATCAGTTATGATCTACTTGTATAAGCATAGAATAGTGGGAAGAAAATGAAGCTATGAATATGAATATACCTGACAAGAACTCTGGGTAGCTGGGGGATAAGTAGGAGGGAAATTTACTTTTCACCGTATATCCTCTACCTTTTCAGATGTGTCTTACATCCATAGGTGTGTTCACAAAGTTTGAGCGCCACATATTGTATCATTGGTGTTGAAAACTGGATGAAACATCTTTGTGTTTTCCTCCCGCATTTGTGTCTGCCACCTGTTGCTCTGCTCAGTCCCTTTGGCCTTGATGACTTGAAAAGCTGGCACTAACTCTAGGCTTACCCTAAAACATTCCCCCACCCCCAAAGTATATATATTGACGTTTTTGTCCTCTTGTGTGTCTGACGGTGTTTCTGTTTCCACCTCCAGCTTTGCCAGCATGTAAGCAACTTCTTGCCAAGAACCCAGGTCACTGCTGAGAAGGGAGCCTTAGGGAGAAGAATATCCAGAGGAAACCAATGCCAGGAGCGTCTGGAATTACACTCACCACAGGCAGCATGAGACATTCTGTGCCAGCGTCTCTGTTCTACTGGCAAAGACTGTAGCTGTCCAGGTAGGAGGGTCCTGGAAGCATCACGCACCAGGAGCCTTTCTAGAGGAAGAATGGGGCCAGATATGAACTCTCTACAATGAGCACAATTTTCATCGTATGAAGGAATTTTAACTAATACAATTATTTAATTTCCACATATTCAAGTTTAGTAGCCTTCTGTGTGCAGTGCCAGCAGTCACTCCCCCTCTACAGGAGTTATCAGGATATTTCTGGCACCAAGTTGAACTCTTCTTGGTACTTCTGGCAATGACAGATCTTCGGGACAGATTTATGTGCTAAATGCTGTGGGCAGGAAGAAAAGTACAACTCTGGAAGCAGTGTAAGGATAGCAGAGTGGAGATCCCTCCCTCGCGTCTCACTGCCACAGAAAGTCAGCCTGGACGCGCATGCTCATACTGAAGATTGATCGTGTCTCATTCACCTCCAAAGTCTATCGGTTCCAGGGAGATCGGGTTCGGCTCCTGTGGCCCTTATTACTATCATTCTACTCCCAAGCTTTCTACCGAGGCCAGTGAATGATGTGAACTTTGAAATGGAAGTTTGTTTTCTGTTGGGAACTTGCTTCCTTTCCCACGCTGGTGCTATCTGAGAGGACCATCTGAAGGCTGTGCTTTGTTCTTGGGGAGGAGGGCATTGGCCATGCCTGGATCCTCCACCATGTTCCTGTTGCTGCCTTTTGATAGCCTGATTGTCAACCTTCTGGGCATCTCCCTGACTGTCCTCTTCACCCTTCTTCTTGTTTTCATCATAGTCCCTGCTATTTTTGGAGTCTCCTTTGGTATTCGAAAGCTCTACATGAAAACTTTGTTAAAAATTTTTGCGGTAAGTTGTGCTGTTTACAAATGGTTGCTTGACAGAGGAGGAAAAGAGTTGTTTTCTGGTTTATTGTTATCTTTTTATTGGATATGTAAAAAGTTGGGAGAGTGGGAAATGGCATTTTGAGTATAAAGAATAACTAAATGTGTACTTTGAAAGCCTTTAGCAGTCTTTCTTTTGAGCAAAAGTACTTGTATGTTTGATTCATCTCAGCAAAGGAACCTGTTCCATGACACTACGTGTTCAGTGTTTATTTCAAAGAGAGGGGCTTAAAATTGAAGAAAAAATACCTGCCAGATCCACTTCTTATGTAACAGAGACCGAGATACTGAAATATTCCCTCACTGATAAGTATGGGAGAGTTTTTTCTCTTCGTCATACTTTTATATAGTTCTTGCATTTCAGACCAAAATAATTAACAGAAAAGGGCATTTGATGAATTGTTTTATGAGGAGATGGATAATAAATTCTTTAACATATATCAGAACCTAATTATACAGCTGAACCAAACTGGTCATAATGTAAAAAGAAATGGGTGAGAAGTGTATTTCCTCAAAGCTGTTCTACGCCCCAAGAAATTGATTGATTGATTTTTAGAGAGAGGAAAGGAGAGAGAAACATTGATTTGTTGTTCCACTTATTTATGTATTCATTAGTTAATTCTTGTATGTGTCCTGACCATAGCATGAACCTGGAACCTTGGCATATCGGGATGACACTAACCAACTGAGCTACTCGGCCAGGGCCCAAGACTTTTAGTATCTATCCAGAGATTTGGTAATTTATTAGCAATGTCTGTTTTCAGTTGTCACCAGATCTTTATATATTCTTTCCCACAATTGAGACCATGTATAATTTGAGAAATGCACTCATGATAGTAAAAACAATATAGTATTATTTGTTCATGTAGTATCTAATAGTGGTTTACAGAATAATTTCATTGATTAATAATTTCATTTTTCTTTGGTTCCTTATAATTCTGCAGTGGACAGGGTTACCTACATTTTATCAATGAAGAAATAGATGAAATTTATATTACAGTGGGAAATTATTTTATGTGTATCATTGAATATTGGGTGCTGTCTTTTGGTATTTAATATTCCTATAAGAATATGATTTACTTTTATATTTTAAAAAATTGAGGTGAAAATGACATAAAATTAACCATTTTAAAGTGAACAACTTAGTGGCATTTGCTGTATTTACAATGTTATACAAACACCAACTATACCTAGTTTCACATTTTCATCGCTCCAAAGGAAACCTGATACTTATTAAGCATTTGCCCCTGTTTTCCCCTCCCCCAGCTCCTAGCAACCAGCAAGGAGTCTGTTCCATCTCTGGATTTACTTATTCTGGATATTTCAAATAAATAGCATCATATAGCAGGCCAGTGTGGCTCAGTGGATTTAGCATTGTCCCATGGACTGAGGGGTCCTGGCTCGATTCCCAATCAGGGCACATGCCCGGGTTACATGCTCGATCCCCATTAGGGGGTGTGCAGGAGACAGCTGATTGATGTTTCTCTCTCACATTGATGTTTCTATCTCTCTCTCTCTCTCTAAAAAATCAATACATTTTTTTAAATGTTAAAAAAAAATCATATAAAATGTGCTGTTTTGTACCTGACAGGCTTCATTCATTTAGCATAAAGTTTTTGAGATTCTTCCACATTGTAACATGTTTCAGTACTTTTTTTTAATGGCTGAATAATATTTTGCAGGTCTGTACCATAATTTGCTTATCTATTGATGGACTGTTTCCACCTTCTGGCTATTGTCAGTAGTGCTACTATGTATATACATGCACTTGTTTGAGTACCTTTTTTTAGTAATATGATTTTTAAGCACTACTTATGGTCTCCTGGGTTATCTAGTTCATTGCTACTCAGGGAGAGGTCTGAAGACCAGCAGGATGCGTATCACCTAAGAGCTGGTTAGAAATGGAGGTCTCAGGCCCACTCCAGACCTACTGAATTATATTTTGCATTTCAACAAACTCCAGTGATTCATATGCACATTAAAGTTGGAGAAGTGGTCATTTAATCTGACTTGGACTAGTTACTTTGCTAATGTATAATGTTTATTTTAATTAACCAGGAAATCTAATTTTCTTAAATTTTAGTCCAAGAAAATCTTCAGTAGAGCCCAGGGTTCCTCTGGACCATATAACTTACTACCCCATGCCCTTTTGCCATTGTGCGGGGGGGAGCTATACCAGTATAGAATCAGTAGAACAGCTCATAAACTTTTAGGATACAACAATGAGTGATGTCTAGCTTTTATTCAAGTTATAAGCAAGTGATTAATTCATAGACCTAGGACAATCCTTATTTTTTAAAACAGAAATAGGAATTATCAGCCTAGGGTTCTTCTATAGTAGCTTAATTTTTTTAAAAAATGTGTTTTTATTGGTTTTTTAGAGAGGAGAGGAAGAGAGAGAGAGAGAAACATCCATGTGAGAAACATTGATTGGCTGCCCCCTGCACACCCCCTACTGGGGATTGAGCCTGAAACCCGGGCATGTGCCCTGACCAGGAATTGAACTGGAACATCTCAGTTCATGGGACGGAGCTCAATCGACCGAGCTAGCTAAACATTTTTAACATTGACCACTTCTGGGGGTGTCAGAAAGCCTAGAATCCATGTATATTCCCTATTCCATTTTGAAAATATTCCCCAAAATTAATATTTTAAAGTTCATAGCCAAGTAAATTCTTACCGTGACTACTTTTTAAATGTACATTCTTGTGACTTTTAGGGTAGATTATAATTAACAGTGGAAAATTCACTAAATATATATTGTTGGTCCAATCCATAGGACAGGTAATCTTATGCCATTAGAGACTGCTGACCACATCTTGAAAATGACTGGTTTGGAGCACAGTGATTTAGAATTGATAATGGAAATAATGTGTGTACATGTGTATGTATGTATGTACCCATTTTTTACCTCAAGATTTAAAAGTTCAAGAACTAGATTTATCTTCTAGAGGTATATCAGACATTCATTGGGCCCTATGGCCCCTGTCCTGTTGAGCATCATGGATCATTACTACTTGGCTACAAGCTAGAGAAAGGGGTAGGCTAGGAAGAATTGAAATGTACCAACAAGGGCATAGGGTAGCTCACCCTCTAATAAGGGTTACTGTTCTGAGTTGATCTTAATGGACTGTAAGAACTGAATGCTGTTTCTTATCAGCAGTCGTATTAGATATAAGTTGGACTTGGCCAGACTGGTTTTAGATCTTGGAAAGCACCCTTCTGTATATCCTTGTATACGTCTAAAATACACCTATACTTGTGGGTGTTTTTTACTGGAGGAGAGATCTTTATTTTGCCTCTTCATCCCCTCCTAAATTGGACTGATACATATAATTTTGCAGCTGGAAGAAAGGTCAGAGATCATCTTAATTTTGTGGGTCTCTCTCCCCTAACCACACATTTGAATTACCTGAGAAAGCATTTTATTTTATTTTTATTTATCTATTTTTTAATCCTCACCCGAGGATATTTTTCTATTTATCTTCAGATAGAGTGTGAGAGAGAAACATCAACATGAGAGGGACACATCGACTGGTTGCCTCCTACATGACCCTGACCAGGTCCAGGGATGAACTGTAACCAAGGTACGTGCCCTTGACCAGAACTGAACCTGTGAATCATTGAACCGTGGGCTGATGCTCTAACCACTGAGCAAACCAGCCAGGGCCTGAGAAAGCATTTTAAAAGAACTCACTTGAGAGCATTAGAATCTCCACAAAGATTCTGATTTAATTGATCTGGGAGGGCATTTTTTTTTTTTTTGATATTGTGTTCAGATAGAGTGGGAGGGAGAGAGAGAGGGAAACATCGATGTGAAAGGGACACATCGAGTGGTTGCCACCTGCACAACGCAACCAGAGCCAGGGACAAACTGCAGCCGAGGTACGTGCCCCTAGCAGGAACTGAACCCGGGTCTCTCTGGACCTCAGGCCGACGCTCTAACCGCTGAGCCAAACCGGCCAGGGCTGGGCGGGCATTTTTGAAAACTCCCCAAGTGAGCCCGGCCAGTGTGGCTCAGTGATTGAGCATCGACCCATGCACCAAGAGGTTGCCAGTTCGATTCCTGGTCAGGGCATATGCCCAGGTTGTGTGCCTGATCCCCAGTGGATGGCATGCAGGAGGCGGCCAATCGATGTTCTCTCTCATCGATGTTCTCTCTCTCTCCCTCTCCCTTTCTCTCTCTCTCTCAAATCAATAAAGAAAAAAATTAAAAAACAAAACAAAACCCTCCAAGTGATTCCGATGTCTGTTATCAAAAGATGGAGTCTGATTGACTTCCTCTTGAATGGGGACCTTTTTACGACTTGTTTCTCACAAATATAATGTGATGTATGTGACGCTGTGCAACATGTGAGATTACGTTAGAAAAGGCATTGGAACTGCTGTCTGACTCTTGGGACGCTTGCCTGTGGAACCCAGACACCATCTTGTGAGGAAGTCCAGGCTATTCGTAGGTGTTCAGCTCATAGCCCCAGAGGGGTTCTGACAACCAGCATCAACACCAGATGCAGGAGTGAGCAAGCCTTCGGAGGGGTCCAGCCTTCAGTCTTTGAGCCACCCAGCTGATGCCAGACTTTGCAGTTTGCAGATTCCTGAGCAAAATGAATGATGGTAGGGTTTTAAGCCAGAGTTATGGGGTGCTTTGTTAAGTGCAGCAATAGATAACCAGACCAATAATATAATATTAAAAGATTTTAAACATTCATTCATGTTCTACAGCTTACAAAACCTTAACATTTTTTTGCATTACTTTTCAGTCTTTGACAATAAATATTCACATTTTGTGGTTGTGTTGATAGCATGTACATAAAATGTATCTATGTTTTCTTTTGGCCATTTTTGCATTGAACTAGATAATCTTCATAAAGTTTATTAAAACTAGATATCTAATAGTCCATATCCCTGTGCTTTTGGTGGACCTAAGTAAGCCCTAGCTTAACTAGTTTCCCATGATTAGTTCCT